CCTGCTGATTGGCTGTCTAAATTAAGCTTGAATGCTCCTCTGGTGGGCACTGCCCTCCTTCCCCTCTCCGTAAATATATTCTTAGTGATATGATGGTTTCACCATATTTAAGATGCTAATTTTTTTTTGTTGTGGTTTTCATTGAGTTGTTGCCTGCCTCTTGTGATGGAAAATTTAGGCGTTGGGCATCGTATATTATTTACAACAAATATGTGGTGCTTAAATTTGGAGGCGCAATGCTCCTTTTATTTCATTATTCTAGAGTTATGGGTATTACTGCTCCACTCAACACCTTAAAAATCAACTCTTGGAGACCCATGGCTCCAAATTACTGGAAGGGTGGTGTAGCTTTTCTATTGCTTATTTTGCTTGGACTTTGTTACTTGGCATTGTTGTGGAACACTGGAGAAGGGCATTTTGTGCTTTCCTGTTTTGGTATTTTGGATGTGAGCCTACTCAATAAGAAAGCATTGCTATACGATTTACTATATCTATACAGTTTTACTTCTTTTCTACGTACAAAATGGAGGTTTATGGTCCTTTTGGATTGGGGGGCCTGCTGTTGTAGACAACATTATATTCTTGTTTTTACATTATATGATGGATGACATTACTTTATTTGCATGGAGGCTCATGGCTCCACTGCTATCCTCGATAAAAACCATTTGGGAGGCCCAGGGCCCCTTAATCTTTTTATCTGTGAATGGATTGTGCCGAGGGTTGGTTTGGGGGATCTCTCCTATTTGCTCCTGTCCTTTCTGTTATCTGTGAATGGATTTGGTAATTTCTTTGGAGAGTTGTGTGCTCAAACGGCCGTGGTTTTCCCTTTGCTCTGGTCTGAACTAGAGGCTCTAAGTTGCGGGGCTCTCTCGTCGGTTTCTTGCACTTTGACCACTTACATCCTTTTTTATTTTTTTTGGTGTTTTCTCTGTTTCTGAGCTGCAGGTTTGGAATCCTCTTGGAACTGCTTTTTGAAGCCTTTCCCAACCTTTTGGATGTCTTTTCTCAGGCTCGAAAACTGCTTTACTTAATCTCTCCTTTATACATGTTCACATTGGTATACTACCCTATTTGGGTATGCATTTTGATTGGATACATGTTATTTTGAGCTACTACATCTATCCTTTTATATATTTTTTTTCTTTTTTTGGGTGGAGTTGTAATGTGGAAGGAGGAACCCTCAGGAACTGTGGTTATTGCTGTAATTTTTTCTTTTTTGTAGCGGGACCCTCTTTCACTACAAATTTGTAATTACTTTTTTTAATATTAACACGTAAGGAGCCATGAGTTGCTCTTTCTTATATATATATATATATATATATATATATATATATATATACTCCTCAGTTCGGCGGTTCGAATACTCTCTAACATAGTTGGCCCTTAAGGAGGTGGTGCTCAAATTGTTAGACACAATAGAGGGGGCTGGAAGCTAGTATAATAGTCTTTGGCCTTTTCTCTATATATATATATTGCAATACCATCTTTATTGCTTATTTATCATCTGAATATATCCCTTATTTATAATATATATATTGACTATTAGATGAATGCCATATTCAATTTATATCCATGCTTCTGAATATTCATGCAAAGTTCTTTTCTGTTTGCTGAGAAATCGATTAACGGCCTTTAATGCCTTTCTTACTGCTTATTTATCATCTGAACATATCCCTTATTTATAATCATACAACTTGAAAACATACAGTTTCCAAAAGCCATATATGCAATCCATCTGCATATTCTTGAGAAGAGAAAAATCTTCATGACATCGACAGATTCCTTTTTTTTTTTTGAAGGGGCGAAAACATCCAAATTAACATAATCATACTAATCAAAATGAAGAAAATAGAAATATTCTGATGAAATCGATCAAATTAATTGGGTGCAGTACTCAATGATGTAGATTTATTCCTCGCTACTTTCTGCTTCGATTTCTGTGCAGTTCTTGATAGCACGATGAACAGCTTGTTTCACAACTTCAGCGTCTAGAGTTTCCATCACTTCCTGCAAGTGATGAGACTGTAAGTGGCAATGAATTGATTACTAGTTTTGCATGTTGCTACTTATATGAGCTAATATAATGTGTAGTAATATTAGGAACTTACTATTACTGAGACGGTTCATTAACTCATATTATGTATGAATAATCTTTGTATGTAATTTTCTCTATAAACTTTTAATATTCGGTCAACAAGAAATTCTTGACCACAGTAGAGAGACTTTCTCAAAGAAGAAGTGCGATTTTTATTTTTACATGCCATTGTATAATATTCAAATTGAAATTTAATGTAATTAATAACTATAACAAAACATGCATATGGGGTTAAATTTTTATTTATTTTTTATGAAAGAGATTTACATGCATACCACTCAATTCCTATATATTTACCTATCAAGCAACTAAACCTTAATTTTTATATATACGTCATCTTATTTATGTATGAAAAAAATATTAACTATTTTTATATTTTTGATGTGATATGAAAGACTTCAATGGCATAAATATAAAAATATAGTTTAAATATTCTTTTAAGGTAAAGTTTATATGTTAGATCTGTAAATACATAGAAATAAGTGACTCAATTTATGAATTGACTATTCTTGAAACATTTTAAAAGATCATTCTAATTTTACTCATTCATTCACCGAACAGAATCATATATATATATATATATATATATCATCTTCAGATCTGATAATGTTAGATATAAAATTAGAATATGATTGACCATATGATATGCCATGTTAGAATATAAAAGATAACGTAGTTGGAGAAGCTAGAGAAGGAAAATTAGTTAAACAAATAGAAAAGGTATACTTACAATTTAACTAGAATATAAAGATAAAAAAATCAATTTTATATAAATAAATTAATATTTTTTTTTACTTTTTCTATCATAATTTAGCATTTTGTGTTTAAAATTAGGTGCTACATGTCATTCTTATATATTCATAAATATATTAAAATTACATTATTAAACCAGTAGAAATAAGATAGCTGAGAAATTTATTATTTTAGAACTTAAATAAAAAAAATAAAAAATTTTGAATTTTGAATATCAAAAGATAAATCATGAATTTATACCCTTCTGTTTTCTTTTATCAATATTTTGCCTATTTGTTCTATTTAAATCTCTCTTTTAGTAGTTTTGTTGGCTTTGTGGATGCCAATGACTTCTGATGAAAGTTCTTCACTGATTTTGTATTTTCTACACGACATGTGGCTATGTTTCTAACAAATGGACAATATTTCATATCTTAGCTATGTAATATATATTATTGCAAATATATTGCAAAAATCAGAGGTTTAACTGCTAGACAATATAAGCAATTTACATGGCCCCGATCCCTTACAGTTATCTCATTTATTGTATTAAGAGAAACAATACTTAAAGAGAATATTATAGGACACTGCAAATATCTATTATGCTTCTTTAGTGGATAGATCATTATTTCTTGAATCATGTAAGAAGTACATAGAGTCTACGGTCATTCTCTCTCTCTCTCTCTCTCTCTCTCTCTCTCTCTCTCTCTCTCTCTCTCTCTCTCTCTTTCTATATATATATATATAATTATTTTATAAATTTGATGAAAAGAAGAGCAGACTTCGTTTATTCACGTGAATGCAGTCCCCATAACTGCTCTAACTCCTAAAACAAGAAATATTAAACCCTAAAAAATTCAGATAAGTTGTTCATACATCAGACCCGCTTCTTTGTTTCAAGGCCAATTAAACAACCATCATGCACATCGATTTCAAAATTTAGGAGCAAGGTATAGACACTTAGGGATTGTTTGAGTTTAATTTTTGTTTTTAAAAATTTTATTTATTTAATGCGTTTTTTCTATATATTTTTTATTTTTTATTTATAAAAATGAATTAACATATTTTAAAAATATAAGGCAACTTTTAAGTATTTTAATTAATATCTTAATCAAATATGTAAAATATTTTTTATTTATATTTCAAACTATTACATAATTGAATTTTCACGGAAATAAGAAGAAATATTATGAAAAATCTCTTTACTGTATGCGACTTTTTGTTAGATTTTTAGGTGAGCATCGGACGACTAAATAAGAAAATGATTTCTGACAATTTCTTTATTTAGATGGTTTTTTTGTAGTTTGTTCTGCCTGATTTTTGTTTGGCTTCTTTCTCTTAAGATCAAGATACCACTTTTGATGAATTACACTTGGTTTGCAGGTAACTCCTCTTTGGATGCTCTGGACTTTAATCTTCTTGTAATTTTTATTTTCATTAGTAAACATTATTGCATATGGAAGTTTATTTTTCTGCATAATATTGTTTAAAAATGATTCTGTAAATCTTGACCTCAACTTTTTATCTCTGTTAAATTTTTTTATTATGCTTCAGAGCTATGAGGTGTTTATGCAAAATGATTTTTTAAATGCCCACTTTGCCCCTCTTGCATCACGTGTAGTGTAGGCTATTAACTGATATCACTGTAAATTCCATATTTGATATTTGGTTCAAGTGTAAATTTCCTTGGATCAGCCAAGAAAACGCATCGCTTCAAATGATCACTCATACTTAATTGCATACCTTTTTTTTTTGGTTAAATTGTATGATAATGCATTTAGAGTGATGCAATAAACATATTTGAATTTTGATTTAGAATGGGTTTAATTAATTGCCCAGTTATATTATTGATAGAGTGGATAACTATGTCTATAGAATATTGGACACAAGCTCAGTTGGACCTCGGTGAACTCAATATTTTGGCTTTATATCATGCTTTAAAATATGATGATTTTATGAACTTTTGTAACTTAAGCCCAATGAGAACAAAAAAAAAAAAAAACTAAAATAAATGTCCTTATGTATAAATTTTCATACATAGTATGTAATTCTTATGTCTTTACATATCTAACATGTTAAATTTAATATTTATGTTTAAAAACTTTGATAACCATGCACGAGAAAGTTGTATTTCATTTTAAAAAATTTAGTTATAGTGATATTTTTTATATGATGTAAAATAATTTAGTGGCCGGTGAGTATGTAAATATGAAAATTTAGGTGTTAGATATGTAAATATATAAGAATTATGTGGATTATATTCAAATGCCCCTAAAATAAAAGATTGAGAAGCAATCTCTAAAATATTTTGGTGTTCAGGTTAAGTTTGTTAATGGACTATATATGTATATATATATATATATAAAGAACATATGGATCAATATAAAGGATAAACAAGCTCCTTCATTCTTTTCCCTAAGAATGAAAAACTCAAAGATAATTGCAATCGCCTCTAAAGCAAAAGATTTAAATAATTATTTCATTGTTTATTTTGATGAATGAAATATCATCAACCTGCAACATATGCAAATTATATGATATATAGAAAATAAAAAAGAAATTTTTCTCATCTTACCTCTGCTCCAAATGCTTCCAAACGAAAAGCCTCAGTGCATGATGCATTGGCTTCAAGAACATTGAGGCCTAAGTCTTCAAAGACTTCAAGAATAGAGACAAGCAAACCGGGACAGCTCTTCTGAGAGTACACATTGATTAGAAACCCCTTCTCCAGAGGTTCAACAGTAACCTGCCAATACATATACAATAATACTTATAAATAAATTAATTAATCAATAACACTTAAATTTTAATTTTTATATTTGTACTACCCAAATCTTTCATATTGTGAAATTTAATAATACACCTTTTTCATTCATAGGTAAAGAAGCAGGCATGCATGCAAAAATGGAAGTTTTGATGTAAGACATGTAAATACATATGGATTGTGTGGTATGCATATAAAACTTGCAAATATATAAGACTTACCGTTGGCCTGGTAAATTTGTTGCTTTCTCCCGCGATAATATTTCGTGCATATGAGATTTCTCTGTTCAATCTTTCAACCTTCTCCTTCAAACCTTCAATGTAGTCTGAAGCATCTACTATAATGGATTTTTTGTTTAGCTGCCACGATGTAAAAATGGTTTGTTAAGCTGTATGTCATGACATTTTTTGTTCTTTGATTATGAAGTGAATATTTGTGAAAAATAATTTAGCGGAAAAGGTTTAAGCTTTAAAAGCACTAAAGATGGATTAATTAATAATCTTCATGGCTTTAGAAAGATTAAACGGTGATTAACTCCATGAGGCCAAGAATACATAATAGATATTATTTTGAAAAAAAAAAGTCAAGAAATGATTTTATGGTAACATGACAGTAAACCATAGTAAGCCTGTCCACAAGCATGTTACGTTTTTTTTTTTTTTTTTTTTTTTTTTTTAGCAGGCTATTTTAATAAAACAGCATCAAAATAGCATTTGGCATGAATAGGGTTTTCAGATCAGAATCAGGGGAGAAGAAGAAGAAGAGGATGATGATGATGATGATTCGATGATTAGTTACATAGAGGTGATGATTAACAGAAAAATTGAAGCTTTCACACAGTAAATAAATGATCCTTATAAGAATGAGATGGAAATTACTGCATGAGAATTGGTCACCGAACGAAGAAGTTGAAACTTCTCATGCAGAGTTGCTCTCTTCTGCTGCTCTCTCGACACCATCTCTCTCTCTCTCCCTCTCGCTTGCTCCAGTTCAAGCTTGATATGGTGTTGATGATGTTTCACGAGTTAGAAGGGAGGTTCTTAAATCTATAAGTAATACTTTTTTTTGTCTCTAACACAGACAGCCTTAATTCATTAATTTTCTAAAATAATAAACCGTATATAGCAGCCTATATAATTATTCTGTCAGTAATTAAATTTCTTTGAATATGATCTAAGGATTACAAACCCTAAATTCAGAAAAAGTCCTAACTCATGCTGATTCATTAAAATAAAAAATATGGCCATAAATTTTTTGCTATTTTATATTAAAAATAAAATATAAAAGATAAACTTTTTGAATTTTTTTTAATCATACCGTCAAATTAGTGCTTTTTTATTTTAAAAGCTTCAGTCATGTTTCTTTTCTTAAAGCCCAAATTAAGAATTACAAGGTTAATTATTTTTAGGGGCGTTTATGTCTTTACATATCTAACACTTAAACTTAGCTTCTACATTTATACCACCCAAATATTTCAAATTACATCAAATTATAATTTTTTTTTTTTTTTTACTTTTGAAAATTTAAATGACATTTTCATGCATTGGAAAGTGATATATATGTATATCGGAATTCTAAAATAGATTATTACAATAAAAAATTCAATCTAAGCATCCAATAAGATAAGCCAAAGACTGCATTAATCATGACCCACACTTGCACATATTGTACACCGCATGTAACTTAAAAGCTTTACTTTAAACAGCATAAGTTCAAGCAAAAGCCATATAAAACAGCAGTAGTACTAATATCTTCACGAACAATAATTGGAGCATATTATAGAATAATTTTATACTTTATAATAAAAATTTATGAAGATTTGCATACATACCATTTAATTCTTATGTGTTTATATATTGAGCATATAAATCTGAATTTTCACAAGTATACCGCCTTATGTATTCTCTATGCATGAAAATAGTGTTTTCACTTGTACTATTTTCTATGGTATAAATTTCAAAAGTAAAATTTAGTTGTTAGATATGTAAATACAATAGAGTTGGGTATGATATATGCAAATGCCCCAAAATTTGAATGTAAATAAATTCTAGTCAATTATCAATAATCAATGCTATAAGTCTGCAAATAACACTTGTTTGTACCAGCTCTTTTTGACGGGCAACGTCCAAGTTCGTATATGCGATGCCATTATGATTTTTGAAGACTATTCAACAAACTGCTTGTTGTTGCCATTTATTTATCTATTTAGATTTGAAGACAAATTCTTATAATTTTTACTTTTGGATTCTTATCATGCATGCAGAACCATAATTGATGACATTAACATACGTACCACCCAATTCCTATGTATTTACATAACTAACAACTAAAATTTACTTTTTAACCCATATCATATTAAATGTTTTTATTTCCTTCATAGAGGGAGAGGGAGAGAGAGAGGGAGAGGGAGAGAGAGATGGGAATCTGCTCGTGATCGGGGATACCATGGAAAGCAGCGAAGACGTCAAATTAGAGAGGGCTGCATGTATGAGCGTGAAGAAATATTAAACCGGAGTAGCAAAAATAAAAATAAAAATTAAAAATTTAATTTTTAGTGTTAAGAGATCAATTAATTAATTGCAGAAGACTTTTATTTAAGTAATACATACTGATTAACATGCATTTTTTTTTAACAATTTTTTAATTACAGTATAATATTTCTACTATTCTTTTATATATATAATATATATATTAAATGTGTATTAAACTGAGAATAAAAAAGGGTGGTGTGAGTTGTGAATGGGTCCAAAGGTGGCTCACGGGGGGGATGGGGGATATCGCCGTCACTCATTTGTCCACGTCCTCTCTGCCGCAGTGGCATATGTAGTTCAGCCGTTGCCACCATCCGGGAAGAAAGGGGAAACGGGTCATGGGCTCTATGGGGAAACGCCTGCACGGATACAAAAGGAAAAAATTCCTCTTCACGAGTAAAACATGTGGGAGAGCATTGACTCATTTGGCTCCTTCTTTATTCATAACTCTACTTGTGAATTAATTCAATAACATTAATCAAACTCTCTATGATCCATGATCTATACAAGTTATGAATAAAAAGGTCTTCATGTTCATTAAAATTTGCCTTCATTGCTTTTTATTATTTTCTATTTGGAAGGTTTACATATCATATCACTCAATTCCTATGCATTTGCATTATCTAACTTGCATATGGAAAGATGTATTTCACTTTTTAAAATTTTAAAATGTTGGTATTTTTAATGTGATATGATCGATTTGGGTGATACAAAAGTAAAAAAGTAATGTTTATGTGTGTGATATTCTAATAGATATAAACAATTAGGTAATATATGTATGTAACTACTTGATGGTTGTATCTAATGGACTAATTTGAAGCTTTGATAAGTTTGAAGATAATCTCATGTAGAGAATTCATGCACTAGCATGTTTATTGAGATCATAGAAATGATTTAGTACTTGTATTTGAATATTTAAAGATGATAAACTTTATCCTTTTTTTCATTAAAATCGATTAAATCATATTTTGATTATTTTTTTTCAATTTTTTTATTGTTGATTAATTTTTTTAAGATTCAACTATTCTAATTTTATTTTAATTAACAATGCAAGTGTAGAATCAAAAACCAAATTTTAATACTTTCATATCAATGAAATTCTCTATTAGTGAATCTTTTAGAAATGATTTAAAGGATATGTATATGCAGGACAAAATTAATGACAATTGGAACATGAACCTTCTAAAGCAATTCTTAATAAATGACAAAATAAATATAATTAGAAATAATTATAATCTAATTATAAAGGTTGTGCTTAAAACTTTAAAAAGAAAAAAAAAATCAATAGGCACATTTCTTTCAGTAAAACTATTAAATAATTATGGGTTGAAACACATAAATAGGAGTTCAAACAATTGCTTAGGTTATTTGATCTATGACTTCTTAAAATATTCATTAACTTTACTGATAATTATTTCCTTAGAGTTAATGAAATTCAATAAAAGAAGTTGATGCATGTATTGATGAGTCATAGAACAATTTGCGATTGAACTATTATAGATATTAAAGGAATTACCTCTTCACGGTACTTATATGCATATAATTTTAATGAATGATGATTGTATACCAGAACATAATTAACAAAGAAGGCTAAATCCTATCATGAAGGTTTGAAGAAAAATATTTTGAAGTGGTTAGATGTTGGTATTATATATTCTATTTTTTATAGTTTTTGGGTGATTCTATTTACTATGTACCCAAGAAAATGGGGGTGAATGTGACGACTGATGAGAAGAATGAGTTAATTTTAACTAAAATAGTAGCAAGATAGAGAATTTGTATAGACTATAAGAAACTTAACAAAGCTACTAGAAAAGCTCATTTCATACTTTCCTTTATTGATTAGATCTTAAATAGACTATTTGGGCATCCATTCTACAACTTCTTAGATGATAATTTAAGCATAATCAAATTTCTATTTCACTTGAGGACTACAAAATATTACATTCTCTTAATCAATAAAATTCATATGCCTTTTGGACTCTGTAACTTCCCAACTACTTTTTAAGGATGTATAATGACCAATTTTAATGATTTAACTAAGCAGGCCATTGAATAAATTATGGAAGATTTCTCAATAGTCGGTATGTTGTTTTATAACCATCTTAAATATTTTGCATTAATTTTCCAAATATTTAAATAAAATAATTTGGTACTAAATAAAAAAAGTGTAATTTCATTGTTACAAAGAGCACGGTTCTAAAACATTATGTTTCAACATAAGGTATGTAAGTGGAGATAATTCAAAAATTCATGTGATAACAAAAATTCTACATTATTTAAGAGTAAAAGTTTTTAAAATTATGTAAGGCTTTCAAGAAAATTGTTCAAGGGCATTTTTTAAATTACAAAGCTTTATTTTGTCATTTTTTAATGAAAAATTTTCCTTTTAGATATAATCAGACGTCCATATAAGCCTTTAAAACTTTAAAAATAAATTAATTATTACATCTAGCACTATATCACTTAATTGAAATATTTATTTTAAGCTCATATATGCTGTTAGTAATTATGAAATTCGGGCAATTTTGACGCAAAAAAATTAGCACAATTTTTAAAGTTAATTCTTATGACAATAAATTATCAAATGAATCTCAAATTAATTGTATAACTACTAAAAAAATAATATAATATTTGCCTTTACCAATTTTAAATCCTTCTCAAATGGACCAAAGTCCTGATTTATGTTGATCATTTAGCTATCATACCCTAAACCTTAAACCCTTTGAATTACACCCTAAACCCTAAACCTTATGGGCGGGGCCAACAAGCAACTGATGACGAGCGACAATGAAGGTCGACAGTTTCTCGATAGCATAGATAGTATTTTAATAGTGTAATTCAAATTCTATCAAATCGGTCAAATTCTAAATTCTGCCAAAACAAACTAATGAGTGAAGTTTATTTTCATTGAAATTTATCTTCATTGAAACTTTACATTATAGTTGTGCTTCTTCATACCAAGCACAAAATTTTTTCAAACTCTATAGCACACAGTTCTTAAAAATTTGTATTTCACTTTTAAAAAATTGTAATAGTGATGTTATTGATGTGATATTAATGTTTTCAATGCTATGTGTGTAAAAATGAAAGCTTAGGTTTCCGATATATAAATACATAAGAATTGTTTGCTATGAATGTAAATTCCTCTTTTTAGAAGGAATTTCACATACATAGCATACAATTCTTATATATTTCGTATCTCAAATCTGAACTTTCAAATTTATATATATGGCACTTTGGTGTTTTAAATCTATGCATGAAAATGTGTATTTTAATTTTAAAATGTTATGATAGCGATCTTTTTTATGTGATATTAATTTTTTTAGTGTTGCATGTGTAAATATAAAAGTTCAGGTTTTGGATAGATAAATATATAAGATTGTATGCTATGAATCTCAATTACCCTCTCTAAACGTAGCTTCCTCAATCAACCAAACTTGTGCAACTCTTCTTAAACCCTTTGATTCCACTA